CGACATGGGCAGGGGCACTCAAAGCGAAGATAGCAAGCTGATCGAGAGATGAGAAAAGAGTTCCTTTTTTCTCTTCAACAATGCATTGTTTTCGCGTTATTTAATTTACTTCTAATATAGTTTAATTCTAATTACTAATTCTTGTTACTAGTAGTAAGGCACTTGTTACTAGAAGCGATGCACTTGTTCCTAGTAGCTTATTGTTCCTAGTATGCCTTGTTTTTCGCGTTTCAGGTCATGACTTTGGGGAAGGAGCTCAAGCCGTTTTGGAATTCATGGCTGCCTTCTTCACCTCTCTGACCTTTCAGTGCCAGGTGCATCGCGTCAGTAGGCCATCGCTAAAGCTAGCCACTAGCTGGAGTCGCTTTTGCTTTAGCTGACAGGATGGACCGCCTCAAAGACTTCAACCCCCCCTGCTTAAATCAAGTGCATCGCTTCTAGTAACAAGTGCATCGCTACTAGTAACAAGTGCCTTACTAGTAGTAACAATGTTTGCTATTTGAAACAAGTGCCTTACTACTAGTAACAAAAAGAATTTAATTCTAATCTAATCAAGGATAGGTACCCCACCCCTCTCTGAGGGTTCAACTCCCCCCTACGGACGGGTGAGTGTGACAGGGTCTGCTGCTGCTGCTGCTGCTCGGTTTGCTCTAACCACGACATCAAACCACGGCAACCTACTAGCGATGGCCTCTAACCTAATAACAATGGCATCCAACCTAATAGCGATGGCCTCACCTTGAACCTACTAGCAATGGCCTCGCAATGGCCTCGCTTTTAGGTTGGAGGCCATTGCTAGTAGGTTGGAGGTCTTGGCTATTGGGTTGGAGGCCATCATTGGTAGGTTGGAGGCCATCATGTTGGAGACCATCGCTAGAGGTTGGAGGCCATCGCTAGTAGGTTGGAGGTCTTCACTATTAGGTTGGAGGCCATTGCTATTGGGGTTCCTTTTGCTGTTGTTTTCTTTATGTTAACCGCCGAGTCTCGGCGAGTTCTTTTTTTCGTCGCGGGCTGTGCGTTGCCTTTTTCTTTAGCCCGTGGCCCGTGGCCTCCGCTCTGGCTCTGCCCCCCCTTTCTACTTAAGTAGAGACTACCTATTTGATTCAGGGCTAAGGATCCGCCAGTAACTAACGGACGCAGGATAGCTCACACACTAATTCATTTGGAGGTTTCCGTAAATGGGGGTGCCCCAAAAGGATTGTTTATGATCAAACAACCCATAAAATTGATGATTTGGGGGTTCCCCCATCTATGGAAACCCTCATTTGGTTCCTAGATGTTCCTAGATGTTCATGTCGGACTGTGTCGACGGTGTGACTCACGGTGTGACCTGCCAGGCATGTTCGCATCACGCTATCAGCACTGCACACGAGCAGGCTAAGAAATTCTGAGCACTTTTCCAAACGGCTAAAAAGATGCATCAACATTTTTTTTTGACTCATTTCTCGGTTTCTTGCTGACGCAGGTGATGGTTCTGGGGGATGACTGGTGTGGATTTGCTGAGACTGAGGTCGGACACAGCCAGAAGACACGGTTTGAAACGATCACCAAGTACTTTGATCGCTCGATGCTTCTTTTGGCTGAGAACTTCAGGATGCTTTCAGCCATTGTTAGTGAGTAAGAAGAAGCTACTAGGAACAAGTGCCTCGCTACTAGTAACAAGTGCCTTACTAGTAGTAACAAGCAGCTACTAGAAACAAGTGCCACGCTAGTAGTAACAAGTGCCTTACTAGTAGTAACAAGAATGTACTGTAGGAACCACATCATTAGTGCGAACGCTTCTTCAAGGAAGCTTCCTTGAAAAAGTGTGAGCTATCCTGCGTCCTAAGTAGTACTTGTAGCTACTTAAGCTACTAGCTACCTCAATTCCTTACTTAATTAAGTAGGCGCCTAATCAATTCCCCTGGGGAGGGGGGGGAGCCAGCAAAAAAGACTCATTTTTTCTCATCCTTTTCTTTTTCAGGATGATGTCATGGAACACATTCGCACCGTCCCAAACGGACTAGCTGCAGAAGCCGGACAAGCGTACCGTCCGGCACCTCAGCGTATTTGCTTCGAGCTGTGAATGGCAGAACAAGCTTAATTAAATTAATAGCTTCTTGTTACTACTAGTAAGGCACTTGTTACTAGAAGCGAGGCACTTGTTCCTAGTAGCTTCTTGTTACTACTAGTAACGGAGCTTGCATTCGTTTCACAGAAAAAGCCCGTTAGAACTGAAGAGGAGTCATCCCACGTCGCCCGATTTGCTGTTCAGTCGGTGTTTTCCATGTCACGGCATCGACGTGTTCACGATCCGTGTTTCGAGGGACCCATTTTAAGCAGCTTCATAAGCTGAAAGTTGCCAGCTCTCAGCTCGTTCCCCCAAAAATCCAAATGAGTGAGTAGTGCGAGCGGTAGGAAATCCTGCATCCGGTTCCTGAGTTGCGAGTAGCTTTCGTCCGAAATTTAAGTAGTTAGTCGAATGAAGTACGAGCGACGAGGCAATCAGAGTCACTCAGAGTGTCGAAAAGCGACCTCGGCGAAGGCGACACGAGCGGGGTGCCCAATGCACGATCCGAAGGGCGCGAGGGCGGCCCTGGCGGCCCTGGCCCTGGCGGTCCTGGCCCTGCCGATTCTGGCGGCCCGGCACAATCTTTCTGTTTCGCCACGGTTCTGTTTGTGGAGAAACCAAGCGACGTCGAAACTCGAAACACAAAAGCAGGTGAGGCTCTCAGAGCTCCCGCTCTCGCTCAACCTGCTTTCGGTGCTTTCAGTGCTCAAGCTCAGCATAGTTCACCGAAAGTTTCACCGAAACCAACAGGCAAAACGACACATAGAAGCTTCTTTGTTACTACTAGTAACAAGTGCATCGCTACTAGTAACAAGTGCCTTACTAGTAGTAACAAGAAGCTAGTTAACTTAGATCAGTTTTTAGTTGTAATATTAATAAGTATTGTAATATTAATTATAATAAGGCACTTGTTTCTAGTAGCTTCTTGTTACTACTAGTAAGGCACTTGTTTCTAGTAGCTTCTTGTTACTACTAGTAAGGCACCTGTTACTACTAGCGTGGCACTTGTTCCTACTAGAGACTCAGCATACACTTAGAGACTTAGTGCTTTGTTGTGTGCTGAGCGCTGTGCCAAAAGCCGGTGTAGGCCATACGCACATCCCACACATTTTCCAGCCAACCGGTTTCACTACACTCAGTGCTTCTTTCAGGTTCTTTCGACAAGTTGGAACCCAAAATCGAGGCGCAGCTATGCAGTGGCTCACCACGTCACCACGTGTCGGTGAGCTTTTGAATTTCAAAGGCCGTGAGGCGTCGAAGTGGAAATGCCCTTTGCTACTAGTAGCATCCTTGCTCTTAGTAGCGATGCCAGGAGCCCCTAGAAGCTTCTTGTTACTACTAGTAAGGCACTTGTTACTAGAAGCGAGGCACTTGTTCCTCGTAGCTTCTTTGTTTTTTCTTCAGGTTGGCCGGGTTGACAAGGATCTTCTCATGCAGGCGTCGTGGCGTCGTGTTCCGAACTGTTGTGTTTCTGAACAAAAAGCTCTCAAATTGCTGCAGGTGGCCAGCACGATCTGACCCACAAAGTGAGGTCTTTGCTTTTTCTAAAACATATGCAAGAAGCGCCTATTCCAAACATATGTGATATGTATAAATATATAAACAAAATAAATAAATAAATATACATATATATATATATATGTAATATGTATATGCAAAATCCATTGATTTCCACTGCTTTTAGACATTTGTGGTGGATTCCCATCTTCGGAGAGATGTTGCTTGAAAGCTGTGCACAAAGGTGCAACGGGAAATCAATTCAGCCGCATGCCATGAGAAAAGGTGCGAAGGAGAAGCGGGTCACAAGTCTATCCGAAGGCGGAGCTGGCGCAGCCGCATGTCCATGTCCCATGGGATGTGCATCGGGACTCACTTGCCATGCGCTTGCTTGTTTTGAAAGACACGCCGTTACGCTCTTACACGCCGTGAACATGCTTTCAAAAAGAAGATGTAGTCTTCAGGGTGGTCTCTGTTGAAGTCTTCGGGGAATCAGCGTCAGCGTCACCTTCTGTCATCTCCTGCTGTGCTTTCGGGCCCCTGTCGTCTAGCTTCCCTTTTCTTTTTTCATATTACTTTGTGATGTCCACACGGCACCTGTGCTGGACACGCCAGACACGTTCCTCTAGGAGTGCTTATGATGTGCAGTGCACCTTTTTTTGTCACTCCGATTCATGCTTGTCACCTTCTTGCCGCTGGGTATTGTTGTAATTTTGTATCTTAATTGACCTTTTGTTCGATGCACTTGAGTTTTGCTAGTCCAAGTCTGACTCCAGACGGTTTGCTAGCCGCTAGCCCTGGTAGGAGGTGCGTTGCGAGAGGCAATGTCGGAAGTGTTCAAGAGAGGGAGAACTCTGGTTCACTCCTAGGAGCGATCGGACGCTACTAGGGGCTCCTGGCATCGCTACTAGGAGCAAGGACGCTACTAGGATCACAAATCACATCTTGGTTCACCCGTACCGCCGCATAGCGAATAAACGCAGTACTCCTCACATTGTACTTCGCCACCCCACTGATCCACACTACATTTTGCGCTTGACACCTTCACAAACGTCCAGGTTGGAGGCCATCGCTTCTAGGTTGGAGGCCATTGCTATCAGGTTGGAGACCATCGCTTTCAATGATTTACAGTCCACTTTTGCAGCTGAGAACTTTGTCTCCAAAGCTACTAGGAGCAAAGAAGCTTCTAGGGGCTCCTGGCCTTACTACTAGGAGCAAAGGGCCTCGCTACTAGGAGCGATCGGACGCTTGAACTGGCACTTTCAAAGACCTGCAGCTTTGTGAAGCAACCCAATGGCCCAACGCAAGTCATGGAACATCCCATGGGTTCAGCACGCAGGTAGTGTTGCCTCAAAGCTCGGCACACAAAGCAAGGTATGCAAGGTATGAGGATTGGAACAATCCTGCCTTAAAGAACGCTTTGTAGCGAAAAGAGGTGTGGAAACATTGGAAACATTGGTCTTAACAGTGGAACATTGTAACAACTCTCCCCTAGATGCGGCTTGAAAGCGACTGAAGCCGACGCAGGCCGTTTGTTTCATCTTGTTTTGTGCCTTTCAGACTACTTGATGACTACTCGCTTCTCGGTTGGAGGTCATCGCTAGTAGGTTGGAGGCCATTACAATTAGGTTCCTTTTGACGAGAAGCTATTAGAAACAAGTGCCACGCTGGTAGTAACAAGTGCCTTACTAGTAGTAACAAGAAGCTTCTAGGGGCTCCTGGCCTTACTACTAGGAGCAAGGACGCTACTAGGAGCAAAGCGCCGGTTCCTTTTGACGAGAAGATTTGAGGAGCCTCAGGAGCCAGCCATGTGAGACTGTGAGAACACTGGTGAACATGGTGGCTTGGACGCGCATCGAACTGGGCGCATTCGGATTTCAGAACCGAAGATTGAAAGGGGAGAAAAACTGTTTACAACGCTTTCAGCCCATATACGTGATATTAAATGATCACGTTACCAGCTGGTTACTGGAAGACATTGTTACATGTCGATTTGAGATGCTTTATATAGAGTTGACTCCTTCACTTAGGCGGATGCTTTTGCGATTTCGCTCAGTGTTTCCACGTGCGGCTCCAAGAAAGCAAAACGTGGGATGTGACAGGTGTTTGCACCACTTGAGGTGGTATTTGACTTCATTTGGGACTCTTCTGCTGAACAAGGACAGCCTGCATGCCATGCTTTGTTAAGCGGTTTACGCGATAGCCGCGATAACTGCTTTGTGGCGCCAATTTTGCATAGAACTTCAGCCTCCATTGGTGAAGCCCACTGCCACGAAGTTTGTGAAACAGAATGCGGCTCTCCAAAGCTGAACGGGTGCTGTTCGACCTGTGACAGTACTTGATGGGATATCGGCAAGTACAGCCAAACACCTTGGCAGCGGTCCAGATGGTCCGGAGCCAAGACTCGAACGGACGACCACACACACACGCTACGAGTAACAGGTGCATCGCTAGTAGTAACAAGAAGCTAGTAGCTTATTGTTTCTAATAGCTTCTTGTTACTACTAGTAAGGCACCTGTTACTACTAGCGTGGCACTTGTTACTACTAACAAGAAGCTAGTAGTAACAAGTGCCTTACTAGTAGTAACAAGGTTCGCTACTAGTAAGCAAACATATGTAGATATGTAGTAGCTTACTAGTAGCGAACCTTGTTCCCAGTAGCGATGCACCTGTTACTAGTAGCTATGATAACATATGTAGATATTGTTAGGTGTATATTTCTGTATGTTCAGGAAGGTTACATAGAAGCAAGGATGGCTTTGTGAAGAGATTCCAGTCGTCTCGGCATCTTGTTGTCAAACCATCAAGCTATATGATTTACCACATTTCATGTTTTTTGTCGAGACTCTTCGGATAATAATTTTGGTTTCACGACGTGTCTGAACATCAAAGACGTTTGATTGGGTCTCTTACGACAGGAAAAACAGCGCCAAGTGCTGGAGATGGTATAGAGTTAAAAGTTGTCTGAGGTCAGTCAGGACGCGCAGTGCGTCAAGCAAGTGTGTTCAAGTGGCAAGGTCCAAGTCGCAAGATCATCTTGAGCGTAAACTATACCACCGGAGGTTCTAACGCTACTAGTAACAGGTGCATTGCTAGTAGTAACAAGTGCATCGCTACTAGGAACAAGAAGCTATTAGGGGCTCCTGGCCTTACTAGGAGCAAGAAGCTAGTAATCGCCAGGGCTGGCAGTCGTGAGGTCGAGGTCGGACACCGCCCGTGGCGTTCCGCTGGAGCTGCGGAGCTAGTAATGCTACTCTGTTACTACTAGCGAACAATACTACTAGTAATGCCCTCGTTACGTTCGTAGCCTTGCTCCGTTCGTAGCGATGCCCTTGTTACTAGCCTGGAGCGCGGCCTTCCTGGAGTTGCTTTCAACGCAGTTGACTTCGGTGCGAGTTTGCGCAGGTTTTGGTGACCAGTGCCTTGCCTCGGCGGACTTTAAGCTCCAAGACATCACCGTTCATGCTTGGATGATCTATCTCGAACTTGCGCAACTGACCGAGAGTCGCAAGCAGAAATGCACAAGGTCACTGCCAGCTTCAAAAGCCTGACCTGGAGCCATGTTACCCGTATCAACGTGTCATAGTGCATTCATAGGGCCTTATGCGCATAACCTTGTTCGCTCGGCTATATTTATTCCTTGTGCATGCGAGCTGTGGACGCGTTTGGTGCACCTTTGTTCGCGCTTGGGGTGGTATGAGCCCAACACGTTCTTTCACCCTCCACTTCACTGCTTCGTTCTTTGTAAACCACGAAGAAGAGAGTAAACTGCGTGCCAGCTGCGCTCGCGACATGATGGGCTGGGGAAGAGCCATTGTTGCTTTTCTGCAAGACACTCGGAGGGTTCAGCGCAGCTTCTGAATAACCAAAGAAGGACGGATGGTGAGCTGGTGTTTAGGAGCAATTTGTTCGAGCGAGATCCCACGACAGTGTTTGCAATGCTGATTGTTTCATTGGACCTGAACTTTGCCGTGGCTTAGCCTATTTAGATTTATTTAGCTCAATTGTACATGTGTCGCAGAGAAACAGAACGCGCCTTTATAATCAGATTTGTGGCAAGCGACAGGCGAAGAACAATGTCCAATTTAACCCACAGGTAGTTTGAGTTCTATTGTGCAGGAGCAAGGGCGCTACTAGGGGCTCCTGGCCTTACTACTAAGAGCAGGAACAAATGGCATCGCTACTAGCAAGGACGCTATTAGACCAAACATGTTCCTCGTGTTGCGTCCAGGTGTCCACCGCCATCTATGGAGCCTTAAAGACACTGAAACTCAGCGACTTGAAGCGCTTGGCCCGGGAGGTGTGGAGGGTGTGATGCTTTGAATTTGAACTAAGCGCAATGGCCTCCAACCTAAGAGCAATGGCCTCCAACCTAATAGCAAGGGCCTCCAGCCTAAGAGCAATGGCCTCCAACCTAATAGCAAGGGCCTCCAGCCTAAGAGCAATGGCCTCCAACCTAAGAGCAATGGCCTCTAACCTAATAGCAAGGGCCTCCAGCCTAAGAGCAATGGCCTCCAACCTAATAGCAAGGGCCTCCAGCCTAAGAGCAATGGCCTCCAACCTAATAGCAAGGGCCTCCAGCCTAAGAGCAATGGCCTCCAACCTAATAGCAAGGGCCTCCAACCTAAGAGCAATGGCCTCCAACCTAATAGCAA